ATATAAAAATAGATAGACAGGGTTTGGAATATATAGAGAAAGAGAGACTGATAAATACATAGACAGGGTAAATAGATATACAAACACACAGAAACAGAGAGATAGACAGCAAGAAAGACAAAGTAATAAAAAAGAAGATGATGTGGGAGAAATGAAAGAAAAAAAATATATTTCAAAAGACTTAAAAAGATTACGCTGTAAAGAAGAGAGCAAGAAATGTTTTAAGATAAAACGAAAATGGATAGAAATTGTGAAGAAAAAGAAAAGCGAATATGAAGTTACGATAACGATGTTAAAAATGTTTAAGAAAAATATATTTTGTAAAACAGGCAAGAATAAATGCGGTTGAAATTGGTTGTGCTTGTATATATATATATATATATATATATATATATATATATATATATATATATGTGTGTGTGTGTGTGTGTGTGTGTGTGTGTGTGTGTGTGTGTGTATGTGTGTGTGTGTGTGTGTGTGTGTGTGTGTGTGTGTGTGTGTGTGAGTGTATATATATAATATATATATATATATATATATATATATATATATATATATATATATATATATATATATATATATATATGTACATACATATATATACACACACTCACATATATACACTCACACACATACCCGAAAACGCTGCAAGAAACAGAAGAAAACAAAAGATACGTGGAAAGATCAGGAGAGGGAGAAATCTAATAAATTCACAAACAAAGGAGGAAAATCAAAGACAAAAGCCAAGAAACGGAAAAAGGAAGAAGGGAAGAAAAAGAGGAAAGTCATAAAACAATCGAAGAGGAGAAAGAGAAGGAAAGGAGAGAGGAAACTGATCAATTCCACGGGACATTAAGACGTAAAGGAAGAGGAGAGATAGACAAAAAAAAGAAAAGAAAAGGAGATAAAGGAACACGAAAGGAGGTCACAGGAGAGAAAGACTAAAGGGATAGGAAGAGTTAAAATAAAAGAGAAGAAGAAGAAACTGGATTTTTTTATATTACTTAATACATGCATACATATATAAATACACATGAGCATATTAATAGATAAATAGACATATCGATGGATACATGATATCTAAGCATCATATAATACAATCGTGATTAATGTTAACAGAATAATTATGATTTAGATCCGATGAAATAAGAAAAAAATAATGACATAAGAAAAATAGTAATAATTACAATTATTATAATATTAATAATATTAATGATAATAATAATAATGATAATAATAATAATAATAATAATAATAATCATAATAATAATAATAATAATAATAATAATGGTAATAATAATAATAATAAAAATAATAATAATAATGATAATAATGATAATAACAATAACAGCAGTAATGATGATAATAATAAGGATGAAAAAATATTAAACAATAATAACAATAATAATAATATTATTATTTACAGTAATAATAAGAATAGTAATAATCATCACAGTGTTAATGACAATAATGATGATGATGATAATAGAAGCCTCAATGATAATAATGATAATAATAATAATAATAATAATAATAATAATAATAATAATGATAATAATAAAAAATAATAATAATAATAATAATAATAATAATAATAATAATAATAATAATAATGATAATAATAATAATAATAATAATAATAATAATAATAATGACAATAATAATGATAATGATAATAATGATAAGAATAATGACTGTAATGATGATGGTGATAAAGGTAATAACAACAACAATAATGATAATAGTAATAATCATAATAAACAAAATACATATTATCATTATGATAATAATAATCGTAATAATAACGATAATGATAGTAATAATAGTGACAATCATAAATATGATGATAATAATGATGATAATAATAATGAAGATAACAATAATAATAAAGATAATAATAATAATAATAAAGATAATAATAATAATGATAATAATGATAATAATGATAATAATAATAATAATAATAATAATAATAATAATAATAATAATAATAATAATAATGATGAAAAAGATAATAATGACAATAATAATAATGTTAATCATAATGATTATAATGATGATAATAATAATCATTATTATTATTATTATTATTATTATTATTATTATTATTATTATTATCATATTGATAAGACATAATGATAATAATAGTTAAAACAATATCAATAAAAATAACAATAACAATAATTATTATTATCATTATTATCATTATATTATTATTATTATTATTATTATTATTATTATTATCATTATCATTAATACTTACCTGGCACAGGAGATACCGTGATCACGAAGGCGGTTCTCCCAGGGCGAGGCTCACCATTGCACTCCGGTGGCGCTGACCCCTGCGAATAACCCAAATGTGGATAACGCGAGTGCGAAATTCTTGGTAGCGGGGGACAGCGTTCGCGCTATCCCCTACGAAAAAAAAAGAAAAAAAAAAATATTCTCAGAGGAATAATATAACTAATAAAACGTGTATTTAATGGTATTCGTAGATACT